AATGGGTTGTGACCTGCAATTTAAAAGGACATTGCCTGTCTTAAGAGACTGCCCAAATCATGCCTGGTCTTAGTAATACTACCCAGGAAAACGGGGGGTTATGCCCCTTTGCTGATACAGCATTTTACTTCTCCTGGTCCATTTTGTTCCTCAAACTTAGAATTCATTAAAAAAGAGGTTTCACTTTTTTTGCTGCCTTTTGCTGCGATTAGAGCTGCATAAAAATTAATCTTTAAAGAAATGGCAGTAGGCAAGATCTACATTTGATTAAGAAAAATATGGTCTGTTTATATGGCCAGGTATTGCATTTCATGGGCACCAAATAGCCTCCTGGTAGATGTCCTAGAAGCTGGTCAATTGATTTTTTTCGTCATTTAAGAGATATCCACATACACACCAATAAATCTATTTGCAACCTTACATTATGAGTGTAGTTTTTAAGAGGATAAAGGAATTGTTGATATATGAGAAAGAAGTCATCACTCAAGGTTGTCTCAACCTTATCTCTTGGCCAGTAGGGAATTGTCATCCATGAAAGAAGATCCTGTCTTACCCTTATTCTTTCTTTCTTGTCAGCTTCCTAGGGGGTGGGGGTGAACTTCAGCAGTTTAAATCACTGTGGTTAGATCTGATGCTAACTTACTGTAGGTCATTTAAAACTTATCTTTAAACCTAACTTCATAACTTTTCTAAATGTCAGAATGTTACTTCGTTTCGTAATTATAAAATTTCGAGTCCAGAAGAGTATAGTAAAATTCGAATGTGTCTCTAGTAAAACCTGCTAGGTTTTGGTAGCTTCCTAAAACAACCAAAATATATCCTTAAAATATGTATTTTTCAGGTTTAGTAAGTAAAATCAGAATAGTCTGAATAGTATTTAATACATTTTAAATTATATACATACACACACATATATATATATAGACTTAGTAAGTACAGTATTTTTTCTTTTGGGAGCAATTCAAAGTCCATAAACCCCCCAGAGCTATGCTTTGCTTTGCTCGACTTACCCCTTTTCTTTACACGCTGAAATTTTTTCAGTGCCAAACCTCACACAATCTAAATTGTTACAGAGGAAGGTTATTCTATTTGCAGTGCTATCCTGTAGATGGCTGTATTGTCAGCAGAATGTGCCTATTAAGAGGTACTGAATTGTTTTTTCTCCTCAACATTTCGTTTTGAAAAGTGTTAATTTTATAGCAAATACTCATATATAGCCTTCACCTAGTTTTACTAGTTGTTAGCGTTTTGCCACATTTGTTTTTCTTCTTCCTTTTTTTCCCCATTCTCCGGCCTCTTTGTCCTCATCCTCTCCGCCACCATTCCCCTCTCTCAGTGGTGTTTTGGAACTACTTGAAAGTAAGTTGCAGCCATTGTAACCCTTTACCTCTAAATATTTCAGCAGGTATCTCCTGAGGATAAGAACATTCTCTTACATAGTCATACTGTCTTTGTCACATTAACATTATTATCCTTTTTAATATATTGCAGTACAGTTCATTTTGTAGTTGCTCCAAAATAATTAACCCACGCCCACCCCTCACCTCTTCCCACATTGGATCAAGGATCTAGTGAAGGTTCATGGGTTGCATTTGGTTTTTATGTCTCTTAATCTAGAATAGTCCCTCTGCTTCTTGTTTTCTTTATGATGACTTTTTTATTTGATGATTCTAGACCAGTTGTCTTACAGAATGTTCCACATGTAAAATTAATTTTTTTATAAATATTTTTGAATAGTCCTAAAAACCAAGCTAAGTTTTCTGAACCAATTGATGAAATACGTGCATGTTTACGTGTTTGTCTCCTAGAGTATGGTCTCCGGCTTGGAAGTCAGATCTTCATAAAGGAAATGACTAGTACCGGTCTGGCAACTAAAGATGGCAACCTGCACGAAGGGGACATAATTCTCAAGGTGGGTATAGGACAAGCAGATTCATGACTAGCACATTTTCACACTCAAGTATCAACACAGTTAAACTTTGTTGCAGTGGGAGTCAATAGCAAGACAAAAGCTGGGAAGAGCAGTAGAGTAAAATAATTTTTATCAGAAAAACCAGATTTGGAGGTTTGTAATAGTTTAATGTCAGTTTTTTAAAAAATATCTCAATGAATACTTTTTTTATCTTCTCTGTTTATTTAAAGTTTAATCTCCTATTCCCTAAACTAAGGAAAGATGAGACGGGGAGTTGGTGGTATATGAATGCTGAATATTTAATAGTTTTTGTAAACCTCTCTGGTCAGGAAACATGTTCCAGTAGTAAGCCAAACCATCGTCTTGAGCTTGGAAGTTAAATAAATTAGCAGAGTAACTTAAGTACACTACAGCTCTCTCGCTCCTGTATTTGGGATCCAGGCATGCAGGGTTGTATTTAATTTAAAGGATAATTCATTTTTATTCCCTCAGTCATCTTAAAGCCCATGTCTGTTTGAATAGCTGAGCAAAACCTGTACATTTTTAGAAGGGGAAAATATGAGTGTTTTGTTTCACTGTGAATAGTTGTATTGCATGTAACATTACTATTCTCTATAAACACAGATAAATGGAACTGTAACTGAGAACATGTCTTTAACGGATGCTCGAAAACTGATAGAAAAGTCAAGAGGAAAACTCCAGCTAGTGGTGTTGAGAGACAGCAAACAGACGCTCATCAACATTCCATCGTTAAATGACAGCGACTCAGAAATAGAAGGTAAAGAAAGAGGAGGCTGTGAGCTTAGCCAGAAGCAAGGGAGGCTGTTGCTTCTGCATTCTCATCTCTATTTAGCACAGCCCTCAGCTGGAAGTTAAATTTCCCACAAGAAAGCCTCTCTTTTAAACTTTAATCCCAAAGATAAGTGTCTGGTTGGTATTATTAAAGTGTCTGTTGAAATTAGGTTTCCAACATGAAATTCTGGTGCGCTTGTAAACTCCCGGTGGACTCTGATTAGGCCACTGAAAACAAAAAGTGTATGAGCAGTTCAAAGAACTAACCACATACGTTCGTAAATCACTCATTCGTACACTTTCTCATGTTTTTTTATTTTTAGTAATTAATATTTTCAGCAAAGAGAAGACGATATGGGGAATAGCAAAAATAGGTAGACACTATACTAAAGAATCAGAATGACTTATGTTGTATTTATTGGTTAGCAATCCATGTCACTTCTCTTTTATGAAACTATTTCTGTGAGTTATACATAGGATAAATTTTAACCATATAGAAATTTAAATTACCAATAGAAATAATCATGTATTTCCTATTTAACCATCTAGGCTTGCCTTTGAGCAGAAAAGGTTAAAAAAAAATATTAAGTTCTCTAAGTTTTGAAACAGATGTTGATTTTTAAACGAATTGCTTTATAAATCTTAGTTTAATTTCCATTTTGTCAGAAGTCTAAGCAGTTGATACTGTTATGAATGCAGTGCAGGAAAACCTAAGGAGCATGAGAAATCATCCCAGCACACTAGGGGCTTACAGTTTATTTCATTGCTATTCAAAATGTGGTCCTTGGCCCCCCAGCAGAATCAGCATCATCTGGAGCTTGAGTCTCAGGCCCCACCCCAGAACAATTGCATTCTAACAAGAGCCCAGGTGATTTGTATGTGCTTTGATGTTTGAGAAGTACTTGCTTGTGTGGTAAAAATAAGTACGTAATACATGACCCAGTAATTGAATTTTGACTCTTCAGTAGCAGTTTTGATGGAAAGTGTAATGAAAGAGGAATGTACAATTCTGTATTTGGCTTCCTCTTTATTAATTAATACCTTTCCCTTCAAACTGTCAGATTTTTTTCAATTTAGGAAGACTGTTAGACTAATAGCACATTTACTGCCTGCCTCTCTTCCGTTTCCCATGTTACCTATTCAGAGAATAGGATAATTTCTGGTACAGGTCTTAAATATTCCATTAAAAAGTCTTTTCTTATTTTTGAAACCAGATATCTCAGAAATAGAGTCAAACCAATCATTTTCTCCAGAGGAGAGACGGCACCAATATTCCGACTATGATTATCATTCCTCAAATGAAAAGCTGAAGGAAAGGCCAAAGTAAGATCATGTATATTTTACCTTGCACACGTCACCGTGAGTGTACACACATACGTATTTGTGAATCTGCTACATTATGAGATGTTAACATGACGTGTGCTTAAGTTCAAGAGAGGACGTGCAGAGCAGATGGTCCAGGATGGGCGCCACACCCACTCCCTTTAAGTCCACGGGGGATATTGCGGCTGCAGTTGGCACAGAGACCAGCAAGGAACCCTTATGCCAAGAGGAAGCCCCAGGTAAGGCTCATTTTAAAGAGTCGCATTCAGAAATTTCTGCTTGGTAAATTCAGAGGGTGGCTGGAAGGAGAGAAATTATTTAGGAAAAAAATCATTTTCAAATATGGAAGAGGCATTTCTTTCTCTCTTTCAGTATTGAAAAAAAACCCATAAAGAATAATAATGCTTTCTATAGGCCAACGTATTGGTCACGTTTTGTTAAATTTGATTAGTTGTAGTTTTTTGTCTCCCATACCTCATCTCTCATCCTGAACTATTTCTATTCGCAATACTTCTGACACCAAATGTGTGGATTTTTTTCCTCCACCCAACTACCAGTTCTCGAATTCTCCAGACACCAATTGGATGTCTCCAATTCAGTTTAGTTCTGACACCGAGCACCTGGAGTTAGTGCAGACCCCACAAGATAAGGGCTCTGTCCCACAAGATGCCCCCACGTCAGATGCCAGCCGCAAGTCCCAGGTTATCACCTTTACTTCTGACCAACTGGCTCCCATGGTCCCCTCCTCAGGTTTGATAATTTACTAGAATGGTTCACAGAACTGAGAAAAGCACTTCATTTATTATTATTAGTTTTTTATAAAGGATACAGCTCAGGACCAGCCAAATGGAAGAGATGCATAGGGCAAGGTATGGGGGAAGGAGAGTAGAGCTTCCATGCCCTCTCCAGGCATGTCACCCCCCTAGTACCTCCATGTACTCACCAACCCTGAAGCAATCCGAACCCCATAGTTTTATGGATTTTTAGGGAGGCTTTGTCATATGCATGATAATTATTATCTCAGTCTCCAGCCCCTCACCCCTCCCTGGATGATGAACTGGTAGGCTGAAAGTTCCAAGCTTCTAATCATGGCTTGCTCATTCTCGTGACCAGCCTGATCCTGAGGCTGTCCAGGAGCCCACAAGGGGTCATCTCTTTAAAACAAAGGACTCTAAGGGATATGGGAGCGTCCTGTCAGAAACTGGGGTCAAAGACTAAATATTAGAGCAAAAGATACTCCTGACATCCCTATCATCCTGGAAATTATGGGGAGTTTAGGAACTTCGTGTCAGGAATTGAAGGCAGAGACCAAATACATAACTAAAATTACATATTTTTAGTTAGTCACATTTTTGTCATAGTTGATTACTTGAGGTCCTTTTTCATCCCCATCCCCTAACCCTCTAACCACCGTAAAATTATCACTGTGACTTTACACACATAAATATCTATCTTTGGAAAACAATATTATTATATATTTTTTTAGTTATAAATAATGCTACATTCTAGCACATATCATTATGCACCTTGTATTTTAGAGGTTCATTTCACTTTTCACTTATTTTGAGAAACTATTGGCACCTGCTAATGGCTTAAAATTAAATTTGCTTTAGACTTATTTTTGTTGTTTGATGTGATGACATATGTAGCGTAAAGTATAGACTTGAATTTTTGGTAGGTTTTGTGAGATTCGTATTTTGAAACAAACTCCCTTTTAGTCCAGATTAATAATGACAGGTACTTTTAAATCCACAGCTCCTCCACCAAAACCAACACCAAGAACTTATCTTCGTCCCAGTCCTGAAGATGAAGCAATATATGGGTATAAATTTTAGTCTCTCTCTTTTTTCTTTTTTTGTACAGCTCTATCTCCTTAACTGAAATCCAGAAGAATGGTGTGTTTTTTTTTTAACCATAGATGGTGGTTTTTCATATAATCAGCAACCTTTGACAAACCCCTATTGCTGCAAGTATTTATGAGAAAGAGAAATTATTTGTAGAAAGAGTAAACTGTGGAAGTGGGTGAATTTTGTGATGTTAACTTTGTCTGCTTTGTCCCTTATCTGGCTCCTTCTCCAGAATGTGATTCTGAATATTTGAGTTTGCCAGATCAATAATAGCTCCCAGATAGGTGAAGTACTGCTTAACTGGTGGCTGTGTTGGGCCTGCGGTGACATGACGGTCCCAGAATGTCGGGGGAGGGAAGTGACACCATGCTCTGCACTTGATAATGAGAACCCCGGGATCAGTGGTGGTCAAGAGCAGCAGTTCCTGGATTAGGGGCTGTTTCCTTGGACCTAGACTGTCTGTCCATTTGATGAGCCCTGGGTGGCAGCAGGATTTCCTTTGGAAGAATTTTGAACTCGGAGTCAGATGGCTTTGATTTTAGCCCTAGCCTTGCCCTTTATTTGCTTTCTAATCTTTAATGAGCTCACGTAAACATTTTCTATTTCTGCATCTTCACTAGTAAAGCGGGCCTCTCCTATTCATCTTACAGTCCTAGGGAAGATCAAATTATAGATTCTATGAGGAAAACGAGAGTGTCTTAAACTATAAATCACTCCGTAGATAGAAGAAATTAAATCTCATCTGCTAATGTTATTCCCCCTTTACAAAAATTATCTCCCATTTTTTTCTTTCTGAAACGGAAACCATTGCAGCCCCAATACCAAAATGGTGAGGTTCAAGAAGGGAGACAGTGTGGGCCTTCGGTTGGCTGGTGGCAATGATGTTGGGATATTCGTGGCTGGCATTCAGGAGGGTACATCGGCAGAGCAAGAAGGCCTTCAAGAAGGGGACCAGATACTGAAGGTAAAGAAAGCCCAGCCCTGTTTCTGGAAGTTACCGGGAAAGAATGGGGTTTTCTGGATATTTTATATAAGGGGAGGGTAAGTGGGGAAGCTTGTGAAAATAGATCAGCTGCAGGTTTGTTGATGCCCAACATCAAGGTCTCTGTTCCTTGGAATGGGTCCTGTCTTCTAAGTCCTGGAATGCAGAACTCACTGCTATGTCTTTGGGGATTTATATAATGTGCAAAACTCTTGCAAAGATTTTTATTAATTTGAGTAATAAAAAATTGAGACTAAAGGTTAAGGAGGAAGATCTTTCAAAAGATCTTGCTAATGTTTGGTCTTTTATTGATTCTCCTGGTTGTCACTCTTAAGGCAGTGTGCTGTAATTGAACAAAGGTGAGCTTTGGCATCAGATCATCTGATTTGATCACATCCAGCCTCTCATTAGTTCTGTGACCCTGGCTCAACTACCAAGACTCAGGGGTCTGTATGTATTCATTGGGGATAAGAACACCTGCCTTGCAGGTACCCGGGGAAGATTAGAATAGATAATATTCCAGGTACCTAGCAGAGTTCCTGGTACAGAGTATGAAGGTCAGTGTCCCTTCTTTTTTTTCCCATTGGAAGATAATAAGTTGCTGCTACTCAAAATATTATTTACATCTAAAATTGTCCAGGAGGGACAATATTGGTACTTTTAAAGTTATTGTATATATGTTTATATGTTCTACTGGTTTTTAAACATGATAACCAACTCAGCTTTGACATTTTATGAGATATGTGTAATATATTTTCCGTTGACTTCAGAATAACCTTCAAGAATGTCAGGTACCTCGAGACTATAAAAAAAAAAAAAAAAGAATGCTAGGGAACTGTCTTCACTGAATTTCTGTTTCTGTAGACTAACATTTCTTATGTAGGAGTTACTAGGAGGTCTGGTAAGAGCATCTAGGTTCAAAAGAGAGCAGAATAAAAAGCTGTAGAATTCCTGAGAAAGCAATCAGCTGAGCACAAAACAGGCAGCCCTCTTCCTTTTTGGCTCTTGGCCCCATTACAGTAGTTCAGATTTCATTTCTGGAGCAGATGAAGGGCAGACCTTGATCATGAGCTTTGCTGAAGCTTTCCAGTGACATTCTAGACCGTCTTTGGCTCTGGTCAGGATCCTAGAAGACTAAGTGTACCTGACTGAACCTCATGGTATCACATGATCCTAGGAAACATCACTTACTAAGTGCCACCGATAAGAATCCCATGTGAGTGCCAGCTCATACCAATTTACTCTTGGGCTGATGCCAAAGAAGAAAAAGCGTATTTCCTAACTAGTGTGGGACCACAGGAAGTCGTGTATGAATTGGGAAGCCTTTGCTCATGAAAGTTCAAGCATAAAATCTTATATCCTGGGGGGAAAATGATTTTCTGAATTTCCATGAAAAAAATAGGGAATTCATCTAGGAGCTTGACAGCTTGACTTCTCTGTAAGTTGTTAAAGATGGGTAGAGCCACTTTCATGTGTAAAAGTCATAGTACACAACGTTTACACTTTAAAAAGTGTCTTGCTTTCTGTTATCACCTAGAGATAACAGGAACTGGCTCGTTTTGCAATAATCCCACCTGGAGGTCAGGCAATAGCTGGTCTTTGTTCTTGGTTGTGAATAAATTTTCTGTTGACTGTAAAAGGAGCCCTCTTTTCTGCAAAGGGATGAAAAGATTGAGCTCACCCGATGGGGCAGAGAAGCTGCTACACAGTCATAGACTGTAGCTGATACAGAATCCGCTTCAGGCTCACAGCAGACATGGTAGACCCTGTAGACTACTAAATAGATAATGAAAGAGGATATTTTATTGGAGAGGACAGTACAACCAAACCTTCAAGTATCAAAGTGCTGCCCTGGCCTTTTTTACTTTAATTCATTTCAGCACTCTTTTTCATGGCCAGGTTGAATACATGTGGTAAACTATGCACATACACTAACCACTTTTTTCTGTCGTAAGTTTTTTCAGTGCAGCTCTTTTGTCAAGGTGACAGTCTGACATGTGGAAGGGTATACATGAGTGTGCTGTGCTGTGGTGGAATATGTGCCTTATAAATAACAGAAATAGACATCCTTTTGTGCTTGGCTTGACCATCTCTTTGCTTATTATTTATCTGGTATAGTTGTCATTTCTCTTTCAGAAACTTTTAGGCGGTGGAAAAGAAAAAAAACCTGTTTGTTTATGAACCATTTGGATTTTTAAATGTAGTTACCATGTGTGCTTTAATTTTGACTATTAAGAGTTTTTGGCTTGCTTGAGGTCAGTCTCCTGTGGCCATGGTCATGGGCAGTGGGACCTTCAAAGTTTTCCCCTAGCCCTGTGGCCTCATCTTATTTAAATAAACAAATATAAGCATATACAATGCATATAAAAACATGTGTGGCCACATATAGACACAGATGTAGATCTGCAAATGGCATAAGAAAGGATTAGATACCAGTGCAATGATCCCTAATTGGGGGATGGAGAGATGGGAATGACAGCTGTCTAAAATGCTAAATATTGTTTCATTTTAGGAAAAGTTAACATGATTACTTTAGCAAAGTATTTTAAAAGTACCAACTAAATTTTAGTCTAATGCCTATTTTCACTTAGTCATAAATTCTAATATTATTTAAATTAGGCTCAATTAATATCCTTTTTTTGAGTAATAAAGCATTACTTTTTGATTAAAGGGTTATCAATGATTGAAGAAAATATTTCATAGGAATTCTGTATCTTTTCGTTTTTGTAATACATTAAAATATTAGGTACTTTAAAATAATTTTTGCATTTTACATATTTGTAATTACTCTTTTAAAATGGTTTTAAAGGTATAGAACAAAGATATCAAAATATCTTTTTCTAAAAAAATATCTTTTTCTTTGCCACATTTCAATTTTACTTGCTTTCTAATGTATCTTCTAAAAGTCATTTATAGTGTCCCCTACTCAATAAGTGGGGAATAAATGTTGTGGGGTCCTTGTCAGAAATAAGTGTGTTTCAGAAGCTTAAATATATAAGCCTATATAATGGACTGTTGGTCTGTCATATAAGGCTAATGCTCTTCAATTTCATAAACTCATATTAACACCTTTAGGTGGTAAAAGCTATAGGAGAAAGTAAAGTTGGTCAGAATCCTTATTTTCAGGCTTTTATGTGAACCAATTTAAAAACAGGGTTAATGCCTTAAGCTGGGCCAGTGTGCTCATTGGCCATAAACTCTACTGCTCCCTATTGCATTATCCATTACATGATTATAATTACCTTCCTGGCCACCTCTGTGAGAGACTCAAAGAAGAGAAGAAGACAAACACAACCATAAAATTCTAATCTGATCCAGTGACAAGTCTTTGATGGCATGTATATCCCTACAGAGTGGTTGGCAGTATAGGGAAGCAAGAAAATGTAGCGATGCCCACACAGCCCAGGCCCTTAGCGAGGTGCTGCGAGGGCTCGTATAGAGACACTAAGGACTTCTTTACATCTGGATTTTGATCTGGGTGGGCCCTGATGAAAACAGATAAAGAGTTCAAGTGGCACATTTATAAACACCTTCATGTTTTCTTCCCCCCGTTTGCCCTTTCTATCAGGTGAACACACAGGATTTCAGAGGGCTGGTTCGGGAGGATGCTGTTCTCTACCTGTTAGAAATCCCCAAAGGTGAAATGGTGACCATTTTAGCTCAGAGCCGAGCTGATGGTAAGCAAGTTTGGTCATTAGTTTAATGGTGGAGGGAGATAGTGGAGAGGATTAGAGAGGTGTCTTGGGACCAGAATAGGTAAATTTGGGTATTAAAAAATTAAAATGGATCTTAACACCTAATCTCTGAAGACAATTTAGGTACCATTTAACTTTCTATAGAAATGTTTTCTATGCATCCACTGAAATAATCTCACTAGTTGTGTCAATTTGGAATAAAACTGCTTTTCTGAACAATGATCCATCCTTAAGTACAACCTGGAGTTATTTTTGAGTCTTCCATATGATGGATGCAAAAAGCCATACCCGCTAGTTAGCTCCCACATGAACCCATACCAGTCTGACAAGTGGCTTCACCTTTCTAGGCCTCATTGTTCTCATCTGTAAAATGGGGGTCGATAGTATCTTCCCTCTCTGCTTCAGAGGGTTGATTGACAACTGTATTAGTCAGTGTTCTCCAGAGAAACAGAACCAATAAGGCGTGTGTGTGTGTGTGTGTGTGTGTGTGTATGAGAGAGAGAGAGATTGAGATTGATTGATTGATTGATTGATTGATTATAAGGAATGACCTACCTAGATGATTATGGAGGCTGGCAAGTCCCAAGGTCTGCAGGGCGAATGGCAAACTGGAGACCCAAGGGAGCTGATAATGTAGTTTTAGTCCAAGTCCAAAGGCCTGAGAACCAGTAGAGCCAACAGTGTAGTTGGAGTCTGAAGGCTGGCGGACTTGAGACCCAAGAAGAGCTGGTGTTTCCATTTGAATCTGTAGACAGGAAAAAAACTGATGTCCCAGTTCAAAGTCAGAAAGAATTAGTTTCTCCTACTTGGGAGAGGGTTCACCTTTTTAGTTCTGTGCAAGCCTTCAACTGATTGGCTAAAGCCCACCGACATCGGGGAGTGCAGTCCACTTTACTTAGTCTACTGATTTAAACATTAATCTCATCCCCAAACATCCAGAATGTTTGACCAAATATCTGGGCACCCCATGGCCCAGTCAAGTTGACACACAAAATTAACCATCACAGCAACTCATAAAGTTAGTTTTTAATTCTTATTTCTATTTGAGCTATGGTTCCCATAGGATCTGTACACTGAGTTTGCTAAATGGAGAGAAGTTAAAGAGGGTGATCGGAAATAGGAGAAACTGATAACTCTTAAAGCAAAATGTGGCATACAGCGATGCTTTTGTCTTTCAGTGTATAGAGACATACTGGCTTGTGGCAGAGGAGATTCATTTTTTATAAGAAGCCACTTTGAATGTGAGAAGGAAACTCCACAGAGCCTGGCCTTCACCAGAGGGGAGGTCTTCCGAGTGGTAGATACCCTGTATGATGGCAAGCTGGGCCACTGGTTGGCTGTGAGGATTGGAAACGAATTGGAGAAAGGCTTAATCCCCAACAAAAGCAGGTATCTGAGATCACATACTCCTATACACCCCTTTTTGCCTTTTTCCCACAAATAAACCTCAATCTCAATACCCTCAGAAAGTTTGCCCACATTATTTGTCCTCATGTCCTCTCCCGTTATCTACTTCTTGTTTATAAGGAGTGGCTTGGAACTGTGAAATAGCTACTAGCTGCTTTGTGTGAGTATTTAGCATTACTTGGTTGGTTGTTGCCTTTGGCTGGTGTTTGAATGAATACCTTGAAACAATGTTGAGCAAATACCAAGTGGCCACAGCTCACCTCTCAGAAATATGTTGCCCTTGTCCAGTACCCGGCCCTCTTCCTCACCTCCAGTGGACACTTGGTTGACTGACGATGGGGAGAATAGGAAAGATACTTGTTCTTTGGCAGGGGTTTCAGATCCGTTTACTATATAGCAGCCTGTCAGAATGAGCCACTTTTAGTGTATTTATTACTGAGCTTCTGGTGGATTTTATGGAGACCCAGCCTTTATATGCCTCCCTTAGGAAGACAGAGTCCCACATTGCCTACCCTGTGAAACCTCTTCATTGTCAAGCTGCATCTTCTCCAATCCATGTTCATAAGAAATGAGTAGACTTGGCTAATGACATTCACATTTGCACATTTTCTAGCTCTAGAAATTTACTTGGATGTGGTTTCTTCCCTCAGAGCTGAACAAATGGCCAGCGTTCAGAATGCCCAGAGAGACAATGCTGGGGACAGGGCAGATTTCTGGAGAATGCGTGGCCAGAGATCCGGCATGAAGAAGAACTTAAGGAAGAGTCGGGAAGACCTAACAGCTGTTGTGTCGGTTAGCACCAAGTTCCCGGCTTATGAGAGGGTTTTACTGCGAGAAGGTGAGGAAGCCAAACAGAGCCAGGAACTGATCCGACTGGGCTCTGAGCCCATCTTTCTTCATTTTCAGATTGTAACTGTCAAGTTCAAACTTTTCTTTATCACTTATACCAAAGCCAGGTTATAGAATTGGAATCATATTCACACACGAAATGAGACTTAAAAAAATGTGAGCTGTGCAAACTCGTAAATGGAGGCATATTTCCACAATTTTAGTTATTTTTTTAAAATACTGCCATTCGAAAGTCTTTATATGTTACCTGTAGCAAAGTTTAATAAGAGTCAGGGGAATGAAGGCATATTCTTCAGAAAAGATCTGGGCTGAATTGGGGGTGGGAGAACGCACAATTTCTTTCATTATTCATGTTATCATTAGCCTGTAAAATACTTTTGCTTCTTATTTTAACAGATAAGGAAGTGTATGCATTTTCATGGATTTTCTTGTCTCATTTCAGCTGGTTTCAAGAGACCTGTGGTTTTATTTGGCCCCATAGCAGATATAGCACTGGAAAAGTTAGCAAATGAGTTACCTGACCTGTTCCAAACTGCTAGTAAGTCTTTCAGTGACATCTTTCTCTCACAAAATTTTTGTTTTGAAAAATATCTAACATACAGAAAAAAATGAAAAAAATGAACATTCACACACACTTCCAATTGAGTCACCATCTTGCCATATACACTCCTCCCGCAACCAGACAGACACACACACTTAACACACTTTTTCTGCTGAATCAATTGACAGTTAAAATTGCCGACATTATAACACTTTTTATCCCTGTGAATCTCCTAAGAATAAAGACATTCTCCTCCTACACAGCCGTGCTACCATGGTCACAGCCAAGAAATTTAACACTGGTACAGTAATATTATTTAGTATGTAGTCAGTTTTTCAAATTTTCTCAGTTCCAATTTTGTCCTTCATGGCTTTTTAAAAAAAATTCAGAATGCAACCAAGGATCCTACAGTACATTTGACTTTTTTGTCTTTCTAGTCTCTTTCTTTTTTCTAAATTATTTGGTGACATTGATATTTCAAAGAGTCCAAGCCACTTGTCTTAACATGTTAGACTATTTCCTCGTGATTAGATTTTGATTAAACAGCTGGTGTCGGCCCTTCCCATTGACTCTCCTAATGAAAGTCTCCTCATGTCAGATGTCCCATTATTGTTGAAGCCAGCTTGGTGTATTTGGTTGTCACTGATACCTAAAAAATTATTTAGCCTCTCGTTTTCGCTTTCGCAGAAACAGAACCGAAAGATGCAGGATCTGAGAAATCCAGCGGAGTGGTGCGGTTAAACACTGTGAGGCAAATTATTGAACAGGTGAGAAAATTCATCCAAAGGTCATGTTGTCAGAAAGAACTAAGTAGTGATTTGCTGAAGTCTTTTTTAGAATAGAATATGTATTTTAATAATCGTTCAATGTTAATAGTAAAAACATGAGTATCGTTGTGTGGAAACTAGTCAATATCCTATGGTAGTGATGTGTTGGGGTTTGTTTGTTTTTTTTTCATTATTCTCAGCATTATACCAGATAACCTGTTAATTCATTCTCTTAGAAATTCTAATAGATTGGTAATGTTAACTAGACATAATGCGAAGAGAAATGTTTTCTGCCTTTTGATTTAAATTGACAAGTTTTATCTGATATGGCCTTTACTTATTAAGACAAACTCTTTGATGCTGCATGACTTTACATACCATTAATATAACCTTTTCCCATTTCTTACAGGATAAACATGCACTACTGGATGTGACTCCTAAAGCTGTAGACCTGTTGAATTATACTCAGTGGTTCCCGATTGTGATTTTTTTCAACCCAGACTCTAGACAGGGTGTCAAAACCATGAGACAGAGGTTGAATCCAACTTCTAACAAAAGTTCTCGAAAATTGTATGATCAAGCCAACAAGCTTAAAAAAACGTGTGCACATCTTTTTACAGGTAAGTGAAATTTAAAATGTAGTCTTTGCTCCAAAGTGAAAATTAGACAATTGAAGAATGGATGAAATAAGGAAGTAAATCTGAATTGGAGAATAGTAATCTGAAATACTAGTCATGACTCCTTGAAAAGTAGTTAAGCCTATAAAATGAGTATATTTGACTCATGGCATTTGTATATTTAATTTTGACTGAAAGTGATCATAAAGATCCATGGCACGCAATAATTCGTCATTTTGATGAAGTTCAAATTTTTGTGTGGGACTACAAGGCTGGTTTTTGAGCCAAGCATACCACCTAGCACCCACATCTCTGCATCTGTTGTGTCATTGTTCTGTACTTACCATCCATGCATGTACTAACTTAAAAAGTATTAGAAACTTGATTTCATTATTTTAAAAAAATGTCCCCATAATAGAAACTTGAACACTGTAAATATTAGATGATACTAAGGATTTATTACTCCAGTTTTGAGGATGATAATGGTATTGTGATTATGTTTTTACAAAAAGAGTCCTTGTCTTTTAGGAATGTTTACTATTAAAATAGTTATGGATGACCTAATATATATTTATAGATGACATAATATGATGTCTGGATTTGCATAAATAATCTTCAGTGAGGAGAAGTGGGTAGGGCTATAGACAAGACAAGACTGGCCATGAGCTCTGATAGTTATCGAAGCTGAGGCTAGGTGATGTGCACATGGGAGTTCATTAAACTGTTTTCTCTACTTTTGTATATGTTTAAATTTTCCATAATAGAATATTTTTTTAAAGTTTCTGAAATGAAGACCCACTGCTGCTATTACTCATGAAAGTAAAACAATTTAAGAATATGATGTTTTATTAATTGAATATACGCCCTACCTATATAAATGACTAGTTCTGTGATTATGCAATAATTAAGGGCTTAAAAGGGTTACTAAAGTTTTTGGTTATGCAAGTTTGTGGAAGCCACATGTTGGATGTAATATCTTTAGGTTAATGATAGCTTTTTTGAGTTCAGCAACCAATCATTGTCAATCTATGTTATATTTAACATATCTGACACTGAGGAGGAAGAGAGCGTGAATTAATATATGTCCACATTAGAATCTTGTTTTACCATCACTGGCTTTTCTTGTTAAAGCGTGAGATGCACAAAATGCTGTAACTGAGAGGTTATTTAGCCAAATGCAAAGGAGGAAGTGGTCTGTCATAAACTGGAATTTTGTGAATATAGAGTTATAAAAGCTTGTACTTTTGATATATTCATACATAATGTTTCCTCTGTTGTTACTCCTGCTACTACTAATAGTAATAATATTAACATAACAATAATAGTCATTATTATGACTATTTTTATTTTAGTAACAGCTAACAGTAGTACAGCCTCTCCTGTGCCTTGTATTATTAGGCCATAAGAAGGGCCAGGAGACTTTTGCAAGGTTACACATCTATTTCTTCACCTAAGCTAATCAAGAAGTTGAAAGTTTAGGATATCTAAAGTCAGAGGCTCAAATGGAAACACAGACACTGCGAGCATCTGCTTTCATCTAGAACTTTGAAGTGACCACTCTCACCACTAGTTGCCAACCTCTGCTATAGAATTATGCAGTCTTCAAGGATAGATGGAACAGGGTGTCAAATAACTTTTACCAGCAAGCCCCAATTTTCTACCAAAGGCCTTTTACAGTTTTCTTCCAAATTTCTGAGTTTGACTCTTCAAAGCTGTATGGGAGGCCCCACTAAGTGCTTTCTGTTCCCTGTGTCTTGCTCAGCCAGCCAGACCAAGTTGTGACTTGATTGTGTGTGTTCCAGAGTCAGAGGTGTTTTTTTATGATTTTAAATTTATGGCATTTTTATGAATTAATAAAGTAGGAAAAAGTAGAGCTGCTTTGATGAACACATAATTCAAAATCAAGAGTTCTGTTGCCTATACTCTCACCAAGCTCAATATCCTTTTTCCCTTGTTGCACAGTAACAAGAAAATCCCATTGTCCACAGATGAGTAGTTAATTATGACAATGTTAAAAAGACTGTCCTTGCAAACTCAAGGTACTCCTCAGTTAAGTGAAGTTAACAAGGGACGCTTTATTTTGAGATTTGCCCCAAAACAAGTAAACTTGTCAACATAAGTTAAAATGTTAGGTTGCCTCCATTTAAAAAATTTTATTATAGGATACATTGTATGTGTTGAAAAAGTTATTTGTTAAAACATGGAGTTTGAATTACATGTTTTCTTAGAATTTCTGAAGCACTCAGTGGATGGTTTGAAGACCACAGAAATGGAATTATGAATTTAGAGACCCAAGCAGGGCCACCCTATGTGTGAAAGTATGGGATTTTAAAGTACCACAAGATATTTTAGCACTTTTATCAGCTTTCACAGTTTTCATTAATGTGAAATTCATTCAGTGTTGAATATTATTAACAAAAGTAATTCTGCATTATTATATAGTCTTTTGAAAAAGCTTGGAGGAAAAAGTGAATGTTGTACCAGCTGAAAGAACCCTAACTGCAGTAGGCAATCCTTGGTCTCCCTAAGGTGTATGGAGACTCTGATGACCACAAGAAGCAGAGGGATGATGCTGGTCTGTCTGGCCAAGCACCTTGGTTGACGCTTCCCATTCAAGGAGGTGGGGGCGGGTGTCTCTGCCATTTGAATAGCTCAACTGAGATTTAATTTATATATCCTACCATTTTACCCATTTAAAATGTATAGTTCAATGGTTTTTAGCATATTCAGAGTTGTGTAGCCATCACCACAATCCATTTTAGAACATTTCATCACCCCAAAAAGAAAACCCCATATCCATTAGTATTCATTCCTAATTTCTCCCTACCCCTCCAGCCTTGCATCTCACCTTTTGCTATTGCTGTTGACACTCTCCAACCTCCTTGGCTGGGGAGGGAGTAGTGACCACACTTGTTCCAGAGTACAACTGCCAGGATGCTCTTAGAATCTCAGGACTTCCAGCTGAGACAGAGGCTGATTAAAGATCCTTTCAATATTTCACTTTCTTGAGTTTGAGAGATGTACTAAGCCTATCCAGGGATATACAGGTCCAGTCCAGAGGTTGGGAACAGTAGAAAATAACTAATATTGCTTGAAGCCAAAGACTCTGAAGAACCCAATGAGCAAAAGCCAACAGTAGACCAAAGGTGTTGAATTCCAAAGTAAACCTTTCAAAAGAAGGTAGCATCATAATCGTGCACCCACCTGTTAAAGAGAGGGCAGGTACCTGAGTTGGATGTTATCAGCTTAGCCGGATGTTACCTTTATATGGGGCTTAGGAAATTGGCTACAGTGAAGTTCTTTTTTCTTTCTTTTTTTCCCTTTTCTTGTACTTGACTCAATGTGAATTCAGTAACAGGTTTTATGACCTTTTTCATTTCATCAATGTGCATGAACATATTTTCTGCATTTTATAAACAGCCCTTTTAACTTTAGGTTTTCCTGGTAAATATGGTAAATATAGACTGTACTCATCTCAGACAACTCCAACTTAAAGCTCAAAAAGGTAGCTGAATGTCCTGTATACAGTTAGTGCAAATCACTCATTTCATCTCTGGAGCATACAGTCTTACTTCTATATTTAAGTACTATGGCATCACGTTTTACCCAAGAGCACAGTAATCTTTGCAAAGTACCATAATAAGGATGCAAAAGCCCAAGGAATCAAGGTTAATTTTCCTTGAGTTGTCCAATGTATCAGTTTATTCTAATGCTATAAATAATTAACAACTAGGGAAATTGTAAGCTCATTCAGGATATTTTAAGGTCAACATTAGAACTTAAATCAAAGAATGGTATATGTTACTAGGAAGAAACCTTGAAGCATAATTGCTTACAAAATTTGCTTAGTAGTTCTTTTTTGGCTATCTATAGAGAATTATGCAAACTTCGGAATAGGTGGAGCAGGGTACCAAACAACTTTTACCAGCAAAGCCCCAGTTTTCTTTTGGGTGCTACACAGAATGCCAATACAAGGCTGTGACATTGTCCTTTTTTAAAAAATAATCCTGGTTTTCCTGCAGCGTGATCATTTTAGGTCCAATTTAATTTATTATTCTGGACCAATTTGCTTCTCAGGTTTTATCTCCATTAGGTCCATAAATACATATTGCTGAAGAATGATTTGCATATGTTTTACTTGGTTGGCATTTTATATTGGTGCTCTAAATTCATATTTTCAGCTGGGCTTTGTCGTGCAGTGGCTAAGGCCATAGGCTCTAAAAGGAAACTTTTGAGTTTGTATCTAGGCTTCTTCAGTTATTTAGTGTGAGGCCTTGGGCTAGTTAATTGCATTACTGTGCCTCAGTTTCTCTTCTCTAACATGGGGATAATGCACTACCTACCTCACAAGGTCTGTATGAGCATGAAATGTGCTTATCCATGTGAGGTATTTGGAATAGCGCTTGGTCAATTCATAGCAAGTGCTATTATCTAAGATACGTTTTGTTCTGAACAGAAACTGTATCTTACTTGAATATGCACCTGTAGAGCTGTATGTATATTCTAAAATATTTAAGTCTATCAAAATGATCTGCATTTAAGTGTTATCTTCAGTATTTTATTGGAGGTATCTAACAGCACATTAGTGAATATTTTTCTTATTTGTAATACACATGTCTCTGTAATAATCTTTAAAATATAGTACTTTGATATTGGTTTTTGATGAGCTTTCTTTGCTCCTGAAAATGTACTCTTTAAAAATTTATTTTTTAAAGGTACTTTTTCTGAAAAAATAGACATTCTGAAAATTCATCCATTTTTAGCTTTATATCATCCATCTGCAGTGAAAACTCAACGAAAGAGATTTAGTATTTAAATATGTGTGAACTTTTCTTGCCTTTGCCAATGTTTTAATTCAGATATGACAGAAATGAGTATAAATTATGTCAAATAAGTTTTCTTAAGTTGCTCTGGAAATTGATGCAGACCTTTTTGCCTACATTTCTACAGCTACAATCAACCTAAGTGCAGCCAATGATAGTTGGTTTGGCAGCTTAAAGGACACAATCCAGCATCAGCAAGGAGAAGCAGTTTGGGTCTCTGAAGGAAAGGTATGTGGCATAAATACTCTGCTGTGAGGTGAGACTCTGCGTTTTGAATCTTTTCTCAAGAGGGTAGTGAATGTAGTACAGCCATGCGCATTTGAAGTGATTCCAAAGTATGTGCTAATCAAGTTTGACATTTCATAAATTCTCTGAAAAATAATCAAATGAAGGGGCTTTTTTAAAAAAGCAGAATGTAATATACGCAACCCTACATTCACTTCCTTTTTACTTTTAACGTAGTAACTAGTCATGTATTGCAAGCACACTAATCAGAGCTTACAAGATCTCTAGCTGAGCACCACAGCTGACAAAGGACGGGGAAACTGAGAGTGGAGGTGAGAGGTGAGTTTGAGGGCCATGGAGAACATGGTTAAAAATTAATAGAGAGCAGAAAAGTGAACAGAGGCGGAATCATTTGCTTAGAAAGAAGGTTGGCACAGAATGTGTCTTAGGCATTTGAGTAGGTGATAAGAGGACGTTAGGAAATTTGCGTAGGCTTCTAAGATTGGCTAGTTTCTCATCCATGGACGTAGCTTATGCACAACTCTACCGAAGGGAGGATACAGACAGAGTATATGATTTTCTGCGGTTCTAGGAGCCTGTGGTGCGAGTCTTCTGTAGTCCAGCAGAATTGAAGTAGCTTGTGGGACCATAGAGGTACAGTTTCATTGCAGAAGTGAGTCGATATCCAGTGAGATTGTCGAGTCCTAGTCTTGTCCTTTGGGAACTGCATATTTAGTCAAGATGTCTAGCCTCTCCTGAGCACCCACAGTCTGCTAAGACTCTGTGCTAGCCTCCTCACTGACAAGTTGAATAGGACAGAGTTTCTGCCCTCAAGGATTTGGGAATCTGGTGGCTGAATGAAGGGGTATGCAGCACAAGTTAGCGTGCATTTTTTACTAGGAGACAAGTACTAGCAGAAGAAACTCGAGAGAAGCCAGATTCTGGAAGAAAAGCACAACAGTCAGAGGAAGCGGACTCAGTAGCATTGTTAGAGGATGGATGGTAGCAAGAATAGATAGGGTGGAGAGTTCCTAATTTGAGTTCCTGCACAAAAATTAACATAGTAATTTAAAGCCAAGTGATTCAGGAAAATAAAGGTGACTTCCCTTTCTAGAAAATGTTTTAGTCTTGGCTGTGCCCTTGGGAATTTTCTTGAGTTCCCACTCCCAGGAGCCATAGCACACACCACTGACCCTCCGAAACAAATTCCTCTAGATGGAAGGGATGGATGATGACCCTGAAGACCGCATGTCCTACTTAACCGCCATGGGCGCGGACTATCTGAGTTGCGACAGCCGCCTCATCAGTGACTTCGAAGACACCGACGGCGAAGGAGGCGCCTACACTGACAATGAGCTGGATGAGCCAGCCGAGGAGCCACTGGTGTCTTCCATCACCCGCTCCTCGGAGCCGGTGCAGCATGAGGAGGTGAGGTGAGGCGAGGCAGGCCACAGGCTGCGAGGCCATGGGCAGGAAAAGAAGGTTTGGTGTTTCACTTGAATTCTTCTGGACGACTGTTAATTCAGGATGCTGTAGAAGATATTTCTAGGGGTTGGAACAGATGACTTCTAGGGATTCTCTCATTCCAAGTCAGTGCCTGTATGGTCGCAGTAGTGGTCCATGGGAAAGTGGGACAGGGACTGAGCGCTGGGAAAGGTTGCGTGGTCAGCAGTTATCACACCCATGCGCTTGGGCATGATGGGTAAACTGAACGGCGTTATGAGCCAGCTCTCCAAATTACAGGTGGAACATTGCTTTTTAAATACAATATTGTTGTATTTACTTGTAACCTTTGATTAGGTCTCTCTCTATATACTCTTAGGTATCCTTGCCCTTCTCCCGCCTACCTCTAACCTTTCTAATACTGCCAAAGCTCCTGAGTGTTTCCCCATCAGTTTCCTTCTCTCTTGTATTTCAGTTTTTGAATTGAGTTCATGATCGCATATGTCTGATCACATGTACTATGCATCCACTGGCTAGTGAATAGACAGCTTCTGTGATCCTAGAAATCACAGTGATAGGCACTAAGTTAGGACCAGAGCAATTATTAGTTACATCTCAGAGAACATTGGGATAATGATCTTTGTAGATGAGATTATCCATATATTTGGATAATTATTGTTGTGGACTTCCCTTTAGCAGTTTAGCTCATTTCAGTGAATGATTTTATTTTTTATGAAAAAGAAGTACCAAAAATTAAGTTGAAAGGGGTGATAAAATCCACCATGACAAAAAAATTAGTATATACCACTGGACAAGTTGTAAAGAATAAATTAACTCTTCAGTATCTACAGATAGAGACGAGCTAAATGCTTAAAAATGTTAAATGCCAGCTATAAGTGACAAAAGGGATTTTAGACTTTAGACTTTTTTTTGTATTTTAAAGGAAGAGACTACTACAATGGATGCATCTAGTTTAAAAAAATATATCTGAAATATTTGCTAATGGGAGCATGCCTAGTATCTGCCTTTTCTATAAAGAAGCACTGAGTCAGTATCTGAGCTTATGCAAATTATGAACTTTTATGCAAGTTATAACCCTCCAATTCTGAATATGTGCAAGTCTTCAGAACTCCAGCAAAGCAGACGAGTGCTCTTTTCTCTCTGCTTGGATGTTCTTGTTGTGAATGAACCTTTATGTCTTGTAGAGCATAAGGAAACCCAGCCCAGAGCCACAAGCTCAGATGAGGAGGGCTACTAGCAGAGATCAACTTAGGGACACTAGCCCACCCCCGGCATTCAAACCAGAGCCGCCCAAGGTACGTGGCTGGGAAGAAGCCCAGGATGGGAAGGGAAAGGAAGTGGACGTCCCTGGAACTCCCTGCATAGCCAGGGAAGAGCGCACACTATAAAATGGCTTTGAATTGTGTTTTTGACTCACCATTTCTCTTAGAACTTCCCTTTTGACCTATTTGGTAAAACCCAAAATTAGAGAAGGGTGAAAAGTTAGGAAGGAGGTAAAGGAAGGTTAAAGAGAGTGTACAATTCTAGGACTGTTAGTTTTTTTAAAAAAATCAATCGATTGATATAGAAAGATGAAAGTTTGACCAATACTGCATGCCCAGAATCAGCAGTCTCAGAATCTGCTTTTCTGTCCAATTAGAATGTTCTGCCCACAATCTGATAGATGCACCAGAAAATGCTTACTGGTGATTTGCTAAAGAAAACAATCATCACAATTTTTTAGTAACTCTTATTATGATGATGGTTTAATTTATTTTTTAAATAAATCATTATCCAGAATAGAATCAATATAAGAACACATGGGTGTTTATCATATGATTCTTTATCTCCTCTCTGAATCAAAGCTGTGACTGTACACTTTTCCTTACAACTCAATAACATTTCTCTATTTAACTAAATAATTTAGGCGAGAAGAAAGTACTGATGTATTGTGAGCTATTAGAAGTAATTAGTGACCTCATAAAATATATCAGTGACAATTTACAAGCTGGCCTAGGATCAAACTATGAAAGGAAAATGGCCATTGATGTGATATGCCCTCCCCCATCCCCACTCTGGTCTCATCCATGGCTGGATATGGGCCCAACCTCCAGGCCAGGGCATGGACCCTTGGTGTGGTATGAACTAAGGAGCCCACTCTTTGATCCTGAAGCCTGACTTGTTCTGAGATTTCTCCAAAATTCTAATCCCTTCCAGTGTGAAATGAGGTCTGATCTACCTCTGGCATTTGCTGGACTCCCAGCACTTCCCCAGCATCCTCTCGATTTCCAGAGCTTTTATTCTTTTCTGTAGGGAGCGAGGTAGGGATCAGGTTGCCCAATCAGTGGCTGTTTGCCCTGCCATATTTGATTTTTTTGGTCAGAATGGTATTTTTTGACCACCTTTGGAAACTGATCAGGAAATGGAGTGTATTAAATCACTAATATAGATGTGAAAATAAACCGAAAGCCCAAGATCAAAATCTGTCATTGCTCTCTGCAGGCCAGAACCCAGAACAGAGAAGAGTCCTTCGAATACTCCAGATCCTATGAATACAAGTCAAACTCCCCCCCAGCTATGGCTGGTCACGAAATTCTGGGGGCATCTGCCAAAGGTCATCCTCCTCCCGTTGCAGCGAAACCTTCCTTTGGCCGGCCTATACTGAAGCCCTCCACCCCGGTCCCTCCCCCAGAGAGTGAGGACACAGGAGAGGGCAGCGAGGGGCAAGATAACACACCCAAGTCTGTCCTGGGCAAAGTGAAAATATTTGAGAAGATGGATCACAAGGCAAGATTACAGAGAATGCAAGAGCTCCAAGAAGCACAGAATGCAAGGGTAATTGTTTTCAAACTACTAGGTTGTCTTAAGGTATCAGCAATGAGCATTTTAAATGGGTTTCATTTCAGTATAATGGTGTACAGTCCTTTTTCCATTGCCACAGACATAAAAGGGACATTCACATGCATGATGTCAATGGCACATCCTGTGTATCTCATTTCTAGATTGTCAGCTATTTGTGTGTATCTCTTTTTCTTCCAATCAAGAAAGCCTTAACAATACAGGTGAATCAGATTCTGTGCTTTGTACTTGAGAACATTATGTTGGGTTCTGGAATGTGGAAGTGTGACAAGAGAATCAGTGCCGCTCGGAAGTTATTTTTTGTTAAAACATTTGCTGTGTTTACTGAGTTCTAATTTGCTCCCAGATTTGCCATAGAAACCAAGCAAACCTTGGGTTCTAAAATTGACAAAATGATAGGCCCTTAGATTGTACTTTTTTATATTGTTGTTTATATTTTTGTACCCTGAGCAGATATAACCTTTCAAAAGTTAAAGAAGAATTTAGGTAAAGGTCTGTGGAGCATATTTTGCCCGGTGGATATGGGAGTTTTCTTCATTTAAATCTATCACAACAGCAGTGCTTCTTAGCGTTTTTCTTTGTTTCTTTTTTTTACTGTGGTAAAATATACATAACATAAAATTTACCATTTTAACCATTTTTAAAATGTTCATTGGCGTTAAGTACATTCACATTCTATACACTTATCTCTTATCATCTATCTCCAGAACTTTTTCATCCTCCCTAACTGAAACCCCGTACCTATTAAACTATTCAGCAATTATTTCCCATTTCATGCCCCCCGCCACCCCCAATCCCCATCGTCCCCTGGTAACCATGCTATTTTTTTCCTCTGTGATTTTGACTACTTAGCATCCTCATATAAGTGGAATCATACAATATTTGTCCTTTTGTGACTGGCTTATTTCCCGTAGTATAACTTCCTCAGGGTTCAGCCATGCTCTAGCATGTGACAGAATTTTATTGCTTAAAACATTTTTCCTACTTGACATGTACCATTAGGCATCACACAGCAGCATGGAAACCAGAGAGTTGCTTCTATTTTGCCTCTTCTTGAAATGGAATTAGAAACCAACAAGTGACTATTCAGTGGTTCATTCTTTCTTTCTTATTCTTTTTTGTCTTAATCACCACAGATTGAAATTGCTCAGAAGCATCCTGATATCTATGCAGTTCCGATCAAAACCCACAAGCCAGACCCTGGCCAGTACACAAGGTAAGGGCTGCTTGACAAGTATAGGTCTGCAAGAGGGGCTTACCTCGGACTTGGACTCCTAAGAAAGTATTTTCTTTATTCGCATTTCAAAGTAATAAGATTTTTTTCCTGGTCAGTGGTTTGCCTTACTTATTTAGACAAATTTAATTTTAAAGATAACAGAATCAAAATTTCATGGTAATTTTGTCTGTGTGCTGAAACTCTGACAAAGTGTAATCGTTGACATTTCAAGTCAGTCCCCTTTGACACTTTGAAGCGCAGATATATTAAATTGTAATAGGATAGCACATGAGCAAACTTCCTGGGTACGTAGACCAGTTTCGTCACTACTGTTTTCTGGGACCAAGCCAAGCTCCTTAATTCCTTTGTATCACCTAGCGAAGTCAGGCCACTTGTGCTAACCTGTGGTTTGAAGGAAAGATAACAATCAATTGACGATGTTGGTAAGATGCGACATTTTAAAAAATGCTACCTAAGCACTAGGAATTACCACAGTATCTTCCTGTTGAACTTTTACACTGCATCATTTCCTGCTTCCAAGAATAGTGCAAAAATAAATCACATTTCTTGTGGCTGTTCTGCCTGGAAGCTAGAGTCTAATTTTACAGCAGTAGAAAACTAGGGGCAAATTCTACCAGTCAAACAGTAGCACTTGTGCCAATGAACTTAGGGGTGGGCAGGGCACCCCTTGTCTAGCTAGGGAATCCTTAGGGTAGGGAGCACCTGGAGGGCTTCCTCCTTCATTACCCAAGCAGGCATCAGCCTTGACCTATTACTCTTATCCCCACTCCCATAACTCTGAACCTGAAGAGGGGCCAGGAGTGGCCCTGGTTTGTCAGCACAGTGTGGCTCAGAGGTAAGTGGTCTTGGGTGATTGTCCACTGTGCATTTAACCCTCTCAATTTTTTAGTTCCAGACCCCCTGAGCCACAGAAAGGTCCTTCCATACTCTATCAAGATGCCAGAGGAAGTTATGGCAGTGACGTGGAGGAGGAAGAATATCGCCAGCAGCTGGCAGAACACTCAAAGCGTGGTTATTATGGCCAGCCTTCCCGATACCGGGACACAGAGTTGTAGGTGTCTGAGAATTGACTTTTCGTACCCAGCTGCCGCCACCTCAGAGTACCTGCGAAGCCACGGGATGGTTCTTTCCAGTTAAAATGCACCGTGGAGATGTGCCGGGACCTGAGTTCCTGTCCAGGGGACAGCCAAGCAAATTCAGAACTGAAGGCTCTATTTGTGGGGCTGGGTCTGGGGAGGTTTTGGCTTTTTGCTCAGAATTCAGAGAAACACTACAGTTTGATACTGTTTCCTGCTTCAGTGGACCAAAATCTGTATTAATTCTGTTTGCATATTTTTAACATGTCTATTAAGAATTAATAACTACTTTTCCTCATTAATAGCTGTCTTCAAGGACTGTTTCAATGTGAGACAGAATGTGAAAAAAAGAATAGAAATACTGTTGGACTCCAACTAAATTCAAAGAAGTATTTTATTACAACTTTAAGTGCCTTTGATGAGAAGTGTCTTAAATTTTCTTCCTTTGAAGCTTTTTATGCAAAGCCATAATGGACTAAACTTTTTGACTACATTTTCATACCAATTTAATAGCTATAGTTTTCCCTGCACTGTGTCATCTTTTCAAGGCATTCGTCTTTGTAATATTTTCCATAAATTCTGACTGTATGTATATAGCTATTCTTGGTAGTTTGGCTACCAGTGTTAAACAGGTTGAAGACCAAGAAACTGGTATAGAAAGTTTTTGTTTGTATAAAACTATGTGCTCCACAAAAGCAGATACTCAAGACAAACACAATTTCCAAAAGTGTGTGTGTTGACAACAGTTTTATAATGTAATAAAAAGGAGGACATCGCAATCAACCAATTTGCTTTGTGGTGGATTTCTACACTGATTCCTATTTTTAAATGCAACTTGTATTTCAGTTATTGATCATATAAGTGAGGATGTGCCCCTTGCTGAAAGTTGGAATATGGAGACATAGGAAAAAAACAAAATAAAAACTACCCGTAATCTCATTTCTCAGAAAACTTTGGTGCATATCCTCTAATTATATATTTGTGGATGTCTGTGTATGTTATACTTGGAGGTAAACTATGTTTGGAGTTCTGTTTCTTAGCTTTTCTATTTAGCATTCTGTCATGAACATTTCTCTCAGGTAGTTAAAACTCAGGCAAACATTGCTAATAATTAGAATAATACATTGTGTGACTGCTTCATAAGTAGACTGTTCTGCTATTGTGGCTGTTTGTAATGTTTCCAGTCTTTTGCCACTTTTACATGAAGTATACCTCTTTATATGTGAATCTATTTTCCTATGTCAGTGATCAGCGTTTCAATCCTTTTCTGCAGGTAGTTTCTCAGAAGTGGAATTGCTGAGCAAAAATATAGGAACGTTTTTAAGGCTCTTAAAGTTTATTGCCAGATTGCTTCCTAGAAAAATCGCATCAATTTATACTCCCACATTCACTCTTTAAAGCCTAAAATATGTTTAGAATTTAAGGATGACAGTCTAGGAATTTAGGCTTGTATGAATCAAAAGTATACTGATTTTAGGAAAGGAAAAGACTTTTGGTTCCATTAAGGGTCTGTTATAATATGCATTGACATAAAGGTGTTAAGCTTGTGATTTAGTCGAGTTAGAAATTCGGCTGACTTATAACTGAGTTATAAATATATCCTTGGTTGTGTCTATCAATCTGGGTGCTGAAATTCATAAACCATTTAGTGCAGTAGATCAAACTTCTGAGCAGTCCTCAAGGCACTGACTCAAATCTGCATGTTTCATAAATAAAAGCCACCTTTTGTCGATAGAAAAAGAATACACTGGTTAAATATATGATGATTTAGTTTGCATATGTCCTTTAAACACAGGAATGAGCCCTTCTGCAAACTCAGGTAGGGGAAGAGAGGAGGCTTTTTAGCAGGAGCTAGGCTGTCATCTGATCCAGCACTATTTTTGTAATACCTTAAGTGGTGCAGACAGGCAGAACCTCTGATCCACAGAATGTCTCATAGTATGCCTGATAGGCCACCGGTATCTGCCCACCTCCTTTTAATTTATATTCTGCTTTGTTCAGGGAAGGATTTAAGGCTGCCTACAATATATGTGTAGTATAATTAAGAAAAATGGGTGCTAGGCAAATGAGGAAAGGCGAGAATTTCAAAATAGGAATGACAAAGCCACAAGCGAGAGTAGTGTGTAATGTAGGAGCTGTCAGGGCTCCTCTGCTGTCCCAAGGCTAGTGTGGCGCACGTGATCTGATTCAGAATGTCCCTAAGTGGGGAAAGTCGTTTGGAATTTTCTTCCCCTCCAGCATTCTGTTTATTCTGTGGGGTCTTAGGTTGCATCATGCAACTATCGCTACTTATTTGCAAGGATGATTTTGGAGGTACGTTTCTTAACTGTGTTCTTTCGTGGAGGGCAGTAACACAATTCCAAGGGCCACTCAGTGAAAGTTATGAAGAAAGCACCCAAAGCTGTAGTGTAGAAACACCACTATGCATTTTGGCCTAATCCAGAGAGGGGCAGGGGAAGAATATTTGAGGGAATTGACTCACATGATTATGTAGACTTGGTAAATACAAAATCCACAGGATAGGCCTGTAAGCTAGAGACCCAGGGAAGACTTGCAGTAGATCTGCCTCTGAGGATTAGAGGAGAGAGGAACAAAGAGAATGAGGAACTGGAGAAAATGAGGGAGACGGGCTGGACCTAAACCAGAAACTTCCCATCCCCCTTTCCTCCTCTAATCCCCCATCCACTGGCAAGCTCTTTTCCCTTCATCCCTCTTCCCCACCAGCCATTCTAAAACAATTCCATTAAGCTACAGGAAGTATAGAAGGGCCAAAAGGACCTGTGGGAAACATAGCTGATAAATACACATAAACCTCATTAGAAGCACAGGAAATGGGAACCATAGCAAGATACTTTGGAAGGGTTTGAAATAGGGAAAGGTTCTGAATGCTTTCGAAATGAACACACCTTTGAGTCAAAATGTAAATGATTCAAATATCAAGTATTTAAAAATATCAAAATGATGTTTTACACCAATAAATATACTAGCATTTATTACTTGAAAATAGCGGGCCAGAATATAAAAGTCACTAATGCAGTGCCTACCCCAAATCAAATGTTAATTCCTCCCTTGGAACTAACCAGGAGCTGGCTTCCTGTTATCTCTATCCTGCTGTCACAGCGCAGAGAGGTTATGAACTCAGATTCTGGAACTAAAGCGATTTCATGTTCAAACCCAATTTTTGTCAGTTATTAGTTTTGAATTTGGGGCAAGTTACTCAAATTTTTTAAGCTTCGGGGTTTTTATTTTTATAAAATACGGATAGGAAATTATAATACTATATTTTTGTGTGTATGTCACTTTAATAGGATGGTATACATAAAATGTTTGCAATAGTAACTGGCACAAAATAAATCCTCAATAAAAGTATTATGACTATCAATGGTATCACCATACTAATTTAGAAACCTGAGTGGAATTGGTGTCTTTGATTTTCTTACTTTTCCTCCAAATGATGACCTATTTTATTCTGCTTAAGAACTATTTTTACTTTGTCCCTCCATCCCTTTTCCCATAGCCATTATCCTAGTTCAGACAGTTGTAAACTCTAATCCAGGTAGCAGGCAGAATCTATTTCTAACATTGATCTGAGAATGTTTCCCTTCTGCTTAAAAAGACAGTGAGAATTCCCCTTGCCTAGACCAAAGTTTAATTCTTTTATTTGTTATTGAGACATAATTGAAATGTAATACTGAGTAAGTTTAAGATGATATACAATGTGTTGATTTGATACATTTATGTATTGCAATATGATTACCACCTCGGCTTTAGCTAACACCTCCATCACATCATGAAATTACCGTTTCTTTTTTGTGGTGAAGACAATTAAGATCTAGTCTCTTATCAACAAAATTTAATCCTTTATCATGGCAATCAAGGTTTTTCTGCTGTCCCCGTGGTAGACTGCATCATTGGCTCCAGGTCTTCACCCTTCTCAGTTACGTATGTCCTTTGCTATGTGACTACTGTTCCTTCCACTGAAGAGTCTGAATCTGTTTTCTCAATCTTTGGCTCTAGGTTGACCACGTGACTTGCTCTCTTGTACGTTGCCATCATATGAGAGGAAACTTCCCAGGCCACCTGCTGTCCGCTGAGCAGGATGAGAGAGATGTAGAGCAGAAACATTCTAGCTGAGTCCAGCCTAGATCAGTAAAAGTATGAGAAATGATAAACAAGTGTTGTTTTAAGCCACTGAGTTTTGGGGTAGATTGTTATGCAGCAAGAGACCCCCAAATCCTTTTTCAGGTAACTCTCTCCTGCAAAGCTCATGTATGTCTCAATTTCATAGGATGACTTGCCCCCACTACCTTTTTTGAATTGTCCGCTCTTCGTGCCACTGGGAATACTCTTCCCTTTTCTTCGTTATCTTTCAAAACCCTTAGTCACTCTTCTAGGACCAGCTAATATGTCATATTCTTTGTCAGACCTTCTTTGATGCCTCCAACCAAATTTAACACTGACTCCTTCAATAAGCTTCCATAGCCCTTCATCTGAGTCTTCTGGCATATTCTAGTTATCACTGTACAGATCTTTTCCCCACTCATTTCTGTTTTCTTAAAGGGAGTGTGTGGGTGCGTGTGTGTGATCTTTTTATCCTCTTCAGTGCTCTATGTATATTCCAGAAATATTTTTTCTGTAAAAATGGAATGAAAGAATAAAGGAAGACATAAATTGAAATGTAATGTCTGTCTTTTATCACAAAAGCAAATCAGTGACATAATGATTTTTCTGACCTTGTGCCCAGCTTAAACTTCGACATGGATACAACTGACATAAACTGGAGAACACTAGTAAAACAAGTTGAGAAAAACTGCTAAGAACTTAGTTTGGCTAGAAAAAGGCTAATATTACAGTATAATTCACAAAAAGATAAAATTATTCTCATGCAAATATAAAAGAAACACATGTCAAAGATTTTATTCAGCCCATTACTTAATGAAGGAATGAGTACGATGTTAAGACTGATTTAAAAAGCATTTGAGGAATCAAGTCTATATAACTAATTAAGGAATATTAAGGAATAAATGTATCAAATCAACAATAAAAATTCTGAGTTAAATACAAAACTGGTTCATATCCTACAGAAGAATAATGAAAACCTTTGTAGATATCTTTTCCACCAGACAATTTGCATCTCTATCAGACAAAAATCTACACATTAACATGTAATTTCTGAAAACTGTGATCAATAGCTTTAGCACTAATCAGCCACTATGTGAATTATTATGCTTAATAGTCACACAAACTATTTTGTAGATCATTAAAAAGATTAATTCTCTAAATTTGGATTATAGCAGGAATTTTGGCAAGCAAAGTCAATTAAAAATCTTGAGTGTGCTGAATATGACCTATTCTCTGCATTTCAAAAGTTGGTAAATTGTAAATTCTTTTATTTGCATGAGAATTTCCAGAATTAATTGTCCAATTTGTTCTTTGTAACAGCCCTGCAACGTAAGAATGGCAGGTATGCCACTTACTTGCCCAGAATCCTTCAGCTAATGAATCACAAGTATAGTTTGGATTCAAAACAGTTTTCTGCTTCAAGTCCAGTTTTCCTCTCTTTCCATCTAGAAGCCCCTTCTATAGAATCTCTCAAAATAGTTTGTTGATCATGTTGTATACTTTTCTACTTACAATTTTTTTTTTTAATAGCACTTTAGAACTGCGTCTGCAAATTGCCAGAACTCATGGAACTAATCTATTTCACAAACATTGTTTGGCCCACACAGGGTGATGAAATTTTATTTATTTAAAAGTTGGGAGATTTTACATACAAGTCCAGATTTCGGGCTTTTCTTTAAAAAAGAGAAGATGTGGCAGTTCTGGGCTCACGTCTTTGCATGACAACTGTAGGCTAGAGCTGGATGGCTCTGCTGCCTCATACAGATAGCTCTCACCCAGCCTCATTTACTAACATGGCCTTCGTGATTACTGAGGGC